CGTTGTCTGCACTACCGACAGTTTGTGTTGCCAACTCTACAGAGTGGATGTTGGATTCGGGTGCTTCATACCACGTTTGCCCTAGGAGGGATTGATTCTCCAGCTTTCAGAAGTTGGAAAGAGAGGATGTTGTGCTCATGGGTAATGGACATGCATGCTCTATTGGTGGTATTGGTACCGTTCATATTCGGATGTATGACGGAGTGATTCAGGAGTTAGATGAAGTGAGGTTCGTTCCGCAGTTGTCGAAGAACATCATTTCACTGGGAGCTTTGGCGGCATCTGACTATAAAGTGACCTTGGTGGATGCACGTTTGAAGGTCACATTGGGGTCCATGATTATGATGAAGGGCGTCAGAAAGAGCAATTTGTATTATTTGCTCGAAAGCACGACGATTTATAGGGAGATGATGACTTCATCAGATTCGGCTAGACTGTGGCGTTATTTGATGCTGGGTTATTTGATTGGTAATGTCGTGTATAGGTTATTGAGGAGTGCTTTGACCTGCAGTTTGAAGTCCTGCGAACCCATTGGTATGAGCGAGAAGACCGAGGTGGAGTTTGGCACTTCTATCCATCATTCGAGGGGTCTTCTGAGGGGTGTTCATTCAGGCATTCGGGGGCCTTCCAATGGAGCATTATTGGGAGGTAATAGGTATGTGGTTTTCGCAGTTAGGGATTGCTCTAGGCATTAGTGGGTTGCAACCAAGTCCCGTTAGTGTGAAGTCCTAGAAGCCCGCAACAGATGGAGGAAGTGTGTTGGTAGAAAGATAACCCGATGTTCTGGTTATGGTAGGGGTTCTTTCTTGCGATTGTGCCAAGCTCACGACAATAGGAGACACTTCATTGGTGTGGAAACTTTGAGGCGACGTGATGAGATGGCAGATTTAGGGAGCTGTTCCTTTCTGGAGGAGGATCAGCGTTTGATGTTAAGCATTGACATTAGTGTGCGGGCTACGACATGTTTGGGCCATCTTATGTATGGGTTGCCGACTACTGCATGTAGAGATTTTGGATCTGATGGAACTGTTTCCGATTTTGGATTGCGTCGGATGTTTGGCTACCCAGCACTTGATCATATCATGGATGTGAGATTTGATCCGATAGCACATTTAGGATTCAGAGGCGTGTTTAATTATCAGGTATTGGCTTCTGACTTTGTTCTGAGCAGGTATGTCACGTTTGACTCTCGGCAGGTGGAGAGTGGTGATCAGATCTTTGGGACATCGCAGCGGGTGGAGAGTGATACTACTCCACGAGCTACTCCACGTTGGGTGGAAACTCCAGATCATACTGCATCATTTGAGATTCCAGCTGATGTGACACAGATTAGGAATCGTGTTAATTTGGATGCAGATGATAGGTTGATTGATTCGAGTGTAGCTGATAGATGTAGTCTGAATATGGCCATTGGTTCATCTCAGGTGGAGATGTTTGGATTGTTTCAGCTTGGGGCCATTGGAGGTGCTATCAACCGTAGACTTGATCGTGACATTGGAGAAGGGTTGGGAACTCTTCTATTGGATTGAGGTCGTTAGCGGCCATTTGGGTGAACTACGTTCGGCTTGATTCCTTGGGCAAGAGGATACGTAGGCAGTCTTTTCGTTGCAGCCGATTTGGTGAGCGACATCGACATTTGGGGTGAGTGTTCGCACTCCCATTTGGGTCTCAGCAAGTGAGGCGTTTGGTGTAGTCGGTGTAGGCTCAGTTTGATTTGGTGAGTAGACACTATTTGGTTTGGGTTGAGTGTTCACACTCCCGTTTGGGTCTCGACCTGTTGTGGATGGAGTTCATTATCATGAGTTCGTTGCCATGACGTACTGGACGCAACAAGTGAGACATTTGGTTTGGTTGGTGTCGGCTCAGTTTTGGGAAAACTTTACCGAGGTGGAGAATTGTGAACACGTGAAGGGTTTAGAGTTGGGCAGAGGGAAAAGTGTAAGGCTGCAGGTACGAAAGTGCAAGGAGAGGTCTCTTTTTCGGCTGTGATTTGTTTTTTTTCGGTAGAAGTGCAAGTACGATGCAAAGAGGAAAAGTTGCAGAGGGCTTTGCTCTTTGGCTTGGTGAAAAATGCACAGAGGTTTTGTTTGTGCGGCTACAGAGAGCAAGTGTGCAGTCTTTTTGTTTTATTTGTAGAGAGATATTGTGAGGGATTTGAGAGTTTGTTTGAGGGTTTAGATTGTGAGTGATTGTAAACCCTAGTTGTATTCTCTCCCTCTATTAGTAGATCTCCCCACTCCTTGCCCCGTGGACGTAGGCAGTTTGCCGAACCACGTAAAAAATTTGTGTTCTTGCCATGATTTGTAATAACTTGTAGGTTTCCTCAATGCGCAGTCCTAGAGCTGACGAGAGGAAGAGCTGATATCTTACTTTGATGAGATATCTGGCTTTTGGTTCTTGTTTCCTTTGAGAAACGAGAATTTCATTGTGATCTAATCTCTTGTTGTGCACCTTGCGCACCGGAGGTGCTGCCGAAATTTTCGCTGTGCACAACAGAATAATTATATGAATTCAAATTCCTATTTTGACAAGGATAAACAATTTATATTCCTACTTAGACTCTTATTGAGCTTTAGAACATGTGAACTTTTATTCTAACTAGAACTTCTATTCCGTGGACAACAAGGACTTGAGGTCTCCAAGGCTATATATGTACAGTCTTTCAAGCCAATTACGATCTTCAATCTACATAGCACCAATCAAAAAGAAAGAGTTCTTTTGTGAAGCCTATTTGATATTTTTCTCTTTTGTTCTTTTAGTTGAGAGATTATATTAGTCTTTTAGGGTGCGATTTAGGATTGAGTGATTGAGAGATCTTCACATTGTATTCTTCACAATTTAGTAAAGTTATTCTCCTTCTTCGCTTGTGGATATAGGCTACAAGTCAAACGACGTATATCTTTGTGTTTGTGTGTTCTCGATGTTTTTCGTGCTCTCGTGTGATTGATATTAATTTATATTAGGAATTTGTCATAACAGTTTAGTTGTTGTTGATGTTGTTAAGCTCAATTATTTATCATGTGATTACATTGCTTGCGCGTAATGTATTCTTCTACTTTGCTTAGATGTGATGTATTCCTCTAACCAGACCGACGCGGCTACGAGACTTGTGATGTGTACGCAACAATTATGAATCTATTTTAGCTCTGTGAAGTATCGGTCGCTTTCAATTCGTCACATCAACATTTTTTTAATGAGAAAAATTATCCATATGTACAATATATAAACATGTTCATTATTTATTCTCTCAAATACAATATCAAATTTGATTTACATAATAATTAAGCGAAATCAAGTAATACTAATACTCGTTTAATATAGAATTTGATTCACCCAATTAGAGGGAGGGAGGGAGGGATGGAGGGGGGAGAGGGAGATATATTCGTGCATGTGCATATGCCCAAATAATTATATACATTCCTTCACAAAATTTTCACTCGTAAAGTTAGTAAGTACTAATTTAAGTTACCTTTAAATTAGTAATCACACGAATTCAGATAGTCAAGAGTATCAATTTTCATCCTCTAACTCAATTTATTCAATTCAAATCAAATCAAATATCAATGTGTTTCATTTAGTATTCACAGAAAATTGGTCAGATTAGAAGAAGCATTTGAATTTAGAAGCAACTTTTAAGTTTCACATTTGGAGTTGGATTTGAATATTATACTAAATTCAAATACAAAAACCTTATTAGCGATTCAGTTTGGTTTGGCTTCGATCCTAATTATCATCATGCATCAAAAGAGAACATACTCTAAAGAGCCCCTATGGTTTTGCCTTTTTTTAAAAAAAAAAAACTAGGAATCCCCAAGTTTTCTATTTTTGATAAGGAAGCTGCTAACATTTTTCTCTCTCTTCTAAAAATTTCCTAACTTTACTTTTTTGACAAAAAACCCCCCAAGTTTTATTCCTCTCTTTTAAGAAGACCCGAAGTTTTCATGTTAGTTTAGAGGATTCATTGTCAAAAAGAAGAAAAAAGGGGAGAAAAAGATAAAGAAAAGAAAGATGGGGACCCCTTAGAAAAGAGGGGCAATACTTAAGGGCTTAATTAATCCCAAAAAGAAAATTATGGACTTCTTAGAAGAGATGAGTAAAACTTAGGGGCTTCTTTGTTAACATCAGAAAGTTGGTAACTTATTAGAAAAGAAGGGTAGAACTTAAGAGCTTTTTACTGAATCTATATACTGACTTCTAGCATATTAATCGTCATAATCCTTGTGGACTTGTTAATATTATACTTCTCTTAATACTTCAGCCCTACCTGCAATTTATAGTTCACGTGCGGAATCAGTACACACTTGCGAAACAGTCTGAAACACATTAATAAATCCGAAGTATTAATACCTCTACACCTATGTTACTCTCAATTACCTAATTAAGAAATATTTTCTCACGTAACTAAAAAGAGTTATTATCATCCGAAGTATTAGTTATTATCATCCGAAGTGCTATTTACGTTATCAATTTCTCAAAAACTATCATCATAAAGCTATTGGAAGTTTCGCACAGAAATATCATAAAATATTTTTACAAGAGGAAATTACCGATAATATTTTCACTAAACTATTGCGATTGACAAATATTAGTGTAATCTGAGTCGTAATATGGACAGGGCATGCTTTACTCTATCAATCAATCCTTCCGTTTAGAAAATTTACCCTTCAGTGCAGTAACAGTAAATTTTCTGATAGTATATTAAACTTAAAAAGCGTATGATGTTTTTTATGATAAAATTTGTTTATGGTGCAATGCAGAATCTGTAATAGTTAACGGCGGCATTATTCGATTTTACTCTTTCATTTTTATCTTCGCATAACTCATTTGTCCACAGCTTCTTTGGGTGGGCTATGTATAAAGTTCGCATCATCTATGCACCAAAACGCCAAAATGTCTTGCTACATGGGCCAAACTGTGAGCTTGACACATGGGCCGGTCTCACTTTATACAGATCAACAAAAAATCCAGGTCGTGAACCCATTAACCCGATAACGACTAGTCTTCCTTTCTTTCCCTTCTTCTTGCCCTTCCCCGATTCTTTTCGACGCCATTTAAAACCCTAATTCAGAATCTAACGTAGCAGCAAATCTCCGTAAGTTTTCGCAAATTAAACCCTAATCTGTATTTTTTTTTCCTTGCATTATTCTAACTTTTTATGCACTATTCCCCCTTTTTCGCTTATCTGAGTGTCAATTTCTGCTGCTTTCGAGTTCTAAATTTAGGAGAAGGAAGATAGCTCATTTCTTATTATACCGTCAAATTTAAAAAGGAAACTGTAAATTTGAGAGGGAGCCAGTTGAAATTTTAGCTACCCATGCCCTGAAAAAAAAGAAAAAAAAAGGGATTGGATCGGTAAATTTTCGTTGGATTGGGTTCTTCATTCTTGTAGCTGTGCGTAGTTGAAGTTCATGCAAACCCTTTTGGTTTTTAAATTCACAATATGGCTGAAAATAATTTTGCATAGGTTTCTCTGATATGTCTATTAGTGAGACCTCTTGCAGGTTTTTTGCGAGTATAACACGTTGTTTATTGCTACAATATCGAACCGTTTTGCATGTGTCTATACGCATTCTATTCCTTTGCAGATGGGCACTTGATTATGCCATGTATCTTGTTTCCGTAGGAAACTAAGTAACAGTGCTTGCTGTCTCTGTTGTATCCTTCTTCCATTCTTTTCACTTGTGTACAGCTACTAAGCAAACAAAATATCTTCTGACATTTTGGGGTCAAATAAGATGGTATGTCATGTAGACTGGTGAATCAAAAATGAATGTTATAGTCTCCAGCTGTAGGGAGCCGCAAGGCAGTTTCTTTCAGAGAGCTACCAAAAACTCAAAGTTTAATGACACCTTTGATTGCACTGGATATTTTTGACAATTAAGATTCTTTATGCTTAGCTTCTTTTGTTGGTGTAGTATATGCTTCACGTAGCAAAGGCTTAAAGGGCCTGCTGAAGTCACCTTTTTCTTCATTGGTAATATATGTTGATGCTTTTGCCTCTTATTTTAGCACACAT